AGGGCGGCGGTGGCCCAACAGTCGTCTGAGAGCGAGAGGGTAGCGAGAGAGAGAGAGAGAGAACGAGGAGGAATTCCCTTCCTCCACGCCGTGGATTTTTTTTTAATTTTAACACTTTTTGGAAACTAATTTTAAAATCTAACACGGTCGTTTTTTTAACTAACACTTTTGGCCGCGCCTATTGCCCTGACACGGCCAAATGCCTGTGCCGCGCCATGCATGGTGGCGCGGTAGAGGTTTGACGTGGCGATGATCGGAATCGCGATCGTTGACATGGCAGGGCCGGCCGCGCCAGCGCATGGCGCGGTGGTTCCTAGACGATTTACCGTCTCCACCGCGCCTTGTGCTTGGAACTGCGCCACTCGCCGCGGCCACGTGCCCATTCACCTATTGCGGCCACTACCGAGGCCTGTGCCGCCAATGAACTTTGCACCAGCGACCACCCCGTCACTCCATGGCATCGGACTCTGCGCCGACGTTGAGCTCCGTGTTGATGAGCCTTTTTGTAACCGGATGTTTGACGCGTTTTAGATGTTTGTTTCATGTGTTTTCCCTTTCAACGGTCGCCCATATTAACCACCGTAATGACTGATCTTCAGTTCCCCTTACACGCCTCTCACATTAATTATAGGTGAATCAATCGATCACAAGCACTCGTGGTGTTGCTCCTTAACAACTCATAGGATATATACGTACGCACTCATCGTGGAAGCTCTGCTTTCGACTTCTGGCCTCCTCCTCCCTGTCTATCTTTTCAGCTCCATATAATAGATAGAAATGCAACTATAAAGCTACAATCCTGGATTCCTAGTGGATGATCTTCATGTTGTGGGGATATATAATATGTTCCTCAATTGTTATTCGGTGATCATCTGTTGTTTAGTATCTTGGGACGCCAGGAAAGCTAATCATGACGGCAGTGCTGCCGTGACGCATAGAAACGAATATGAAGCAAATAAATGAAGTCTGTGCGCAAGTTAAGCTGCCACATAACATTTTCATTGGTTTGACATAAGTTCGACATAGCATAACCAACTTAGCCTGCAAGTTTCGGACACCAATAATAGTTCGACCTAACAAACTAAGACCCATGAGTGTAAGGATCCCTCGGACGCCTCTGTCTCTTTGGATTTGTTGGCAACACATTGGGAGTGTAGCCAACATCGGTATGGTCACGTCGACGGTGTGTACGGCTCATACCCTGCAAGTATATGATACGCATGATTACTTATAATTCTTTATGATCGTTAGTTCATGGAGCATACGTATTTAAAGAAACTACCTTTGTTAGTACCTGTGAGGCTCCTTGGGTACCAAGCGGGGCACCACCTAGCTGAGACATGCCAATCTCGTCCTGCGGCCAATCGTCCCACTGGTCGTGCTGTCTGTAGAAGCCCCGGGGGTCATCGTCGTCGTCCTCGTCGTCCTCGGTTGCAGGGTCCTTCCTAGCGCTATGATGTGGTGGTGTACGCACCGTGGAAGTGGCACCTGTCATCGGCTGAGAAGAGCCGGCTGGTGTCCTCAAAGAGGCTGAAGATATGCCACCCGACCGCGCTGGGAGTGGTGGTTCCTCATAAGGAGTGTCCATGCAGCTCAGCTTCTAAGCTAGCTTCCTGCAGCTCTTCTTCACCTTCTGCATAAATAGACGTTAAAGTTAGTGCATTTCCCAAACACATATACACTAAAGAAACATTTTCAGAACGGACAAGTTTATGTTTACCTCCACAAAAGCCGCGAGAACGCCTGGCCTCTGCCCTCTTGACTCGTGAAGCCGAAACGCTGCTTCATTGGACAGCCTTGACAATTGTGTCACCTGGGTACAGAAATACGGTTGGACAGTTTTAGTACACATACTTAATACCAAAAGGATAATAAATTGTACCATTCAAGTATCTTACCACGTATCTTTGAAGCGGGGCTCTCTGTAGCTGTGTGTCCTCCCTAGTGGTAACATCGTACACATCTTCGATGACATCTTCCTCTGAGTCCTCGTTAATCGCCTCCTCAGTGTATGGGGGCTTGATATGTGTCCTTGTAGACCTGTGAAGCCACCGCAGGTACTCATCGAAGGTGTGCTGGTCGTGTGGAGGACCCGCATGGACCGGATGTCGTACCCTGTTCTGCCACAAATGGATGTGTGCGCTATGTGTCACGCGCCAATCCTTGGTCATGTACCTCTTCCTGCGGTCATACCTGCAACAAAACGATGTTAGTTGTACCACACACACCTCTGAATTGTAGCTTTGTTATTAATCGATAACACACCCATGTAATTCTTTGTTGGTGGAGTAAAGCGGTGGTGGGCAGCCTGTCATTCTTCCAAACTGTCTGCAGACCCTGATGGGCAAGTAAATCTCAACAACATGGAAGAAAATAAGAGGGATGTCGCAGCGATACTCGTCTGACTCATCCCTAGTAACAGTACTAAGATAGTACTGGAGCTCCAAAGCATCCCAAGGACACCAATGCACCTAAAATCTCATAATTGAGTTAGGTTGTGATATAGTGTACATCGAACAAGACACAGGTATGATAGTAAAGAGAGCGTAACCTGGTGATGTGTCAGGACGTCGAGACCATCCATGTACTCCCTGTACTTGCGCCTCGCATTCCCTCTAACTAACTCTGCTTCCGTTTAGATATACAAAGTTGTAGGGAGTGTATCCTGCCCGTTCCATCGCTGCATTGAACACGATAATGAATTAACCATTAATAATCTCATCATATGTAACTGCCTCGAAGATTATAGTGAACCGAAGTACTTACCGGTAAACCATTATTAAGAGGCCTCCCAACGGGCCATCGTTCCCAACACCAAACCTAGAGTAGGTAGGAGCAACTCCTAAGGTTCGCATATCCTGAGGTGTGACGGCAGGCAACGATAGCTATCGATACGTCCATGCCAGGACTACTAGCTGCCCCAGCTGTGACGCCGCTATGTTCTCCCACCGGTTGACGTAGTATGTCAAGAAAGATCCGCTGATGGTGTTGCCCGAGGCGTATGGGAAGAGGAAAGCACCAAGAAAGTGCAGAGCCACACTCGAGCGAACCTGTCGATCGAGAGCCTCCTCACTGTGGGTCCAAGTAATTAAAGCGCTCTGTGATCCGGACGACGAAACACCAGAACTTTTCCGAAAATTGACCAAAGAAAATGAGACCCGATGGCTGCAGGAAAGCAATGCAAGTATTAAATAGGCTTGAATTACTCACTTATTTTTTTTGGAAGCCTTGTCGTCCGGTGGAAGAAAGCTAGTAAACTGAGCCACCAGCTCGCTCCAGTGATCGTTGTCAACTATCCCTGTCACTGGAAGTCCCCAACCGAAGCCCTAAAATAGCCTTCACGTCCTGCATGCTCAAGGTCATCTCGCCACAAGGTAGAGGAATGTGTGGGTCTCTAGACCTCCACCGTTATAAGAATAGAACGATTAGTTGCCTCAAATTTGTTACAAGAAAGTTTACGACAAATAATGCACTCGCACCTGTCTACAAGCTGTAGTAAGTAGTGCTAGGTCAAGGGCGGAAAACTATGGTTGACAATACGAACAAGCTCGAGGGAAGTTTAAGACGCCTGTATGTATATGCGGCGCATAACGCTCGTCCACTGGTGTGCCCTAGTGTGCGTGTGGGGCCTCAAAGGAGACAAGGCTACCTCTGCGTCGTTGTCACTCAAGATATGTGCTTTCGGTGTTGGTCGTCGTACTCCGCCTCAAGAATGGGGTACAACGGTGCGTGGGAGGGTCATCTGTTACAAATTGATAAACAAAGCATTAGAGTATTCAAATTAACATTATGTAGCATTGCAAAATTTGAACTACTTGTTATGCAATATGAAAGCATATGTATATATTCAAAGTAAAATTAACAGACATATCACGCACTAGTTACATAAACAACTTCACTAGAAATATAAGCATTTGACGAAACTTCATGAAATCATCAAAATCGACGTATCACGCACTAGTAAGTACCGGCATTTGTAAACCAGTATCTATACCCAAAATCCCTAACTAAATAACTAACTATAAACTAAATAATAAATACCTAATCAATCCCTAAACCCAAAATCCTAACCTCAAACCTAAAAACTACCTACGTAAATCACAAACAAATTCACTAACCTAACTATCCTAAATCACTAACTATCATAAATTAATAACCATCGTAAAACCCTAACTATCCTATATTACTAATTATCCTAAAACAATAATAATCAAAATAATATGAAATCGAGAGGGAGGTACCTTAGGAGCAGGCGGCGTTCGTGGCGCGGGCGCGGTGTGGGCGGGCGCGGCCGGCGGTGGGCGATGCGCGGCGACGAGCGGGCTAGCAGGGGTGCGTGCGGGCGGAGGGCTCGCTCGCGATATTTATTTGGCTCAGCCGCGCCATGCGCCGTGGCGCGGCACTGCCGCGTCAAGATCGGTGACGCGGCAGAGCCCAGCCACACCAGCGGACGCGTTTCCGATCGTCGCCACGTTAGACCTCTACCGCGCCACCATGCATGGCGCGACACAGGCATTTGGCCACGCCAGGGCAATAAACGCGTCCAAAAGGGTTAGTTTTTTTTTTTTAAACCGATTTAAAGTTAGTTTTTAAAAGACGTTAAAATTAAAAAAAATCACGCCGTGAGCCCGTGACCCGGCCCCAGTCCCCGTCACCCGTACATATCAACACGCGCGGGCGCCTTGCCCTCCCGAAGACGAATTCTTCTGCACCACGTCCACAGACCAACTAAAACAGCATGGGTCCCCAGGTGCAGTGGCAGTCAGACCTCGTGCACCGGGTGCATGTGTGGCGCCACGCTTCCGGGCAAGGGCAGTGGCACGCGCTTAATTACCAGCAAAGTGAAGGCCGTATTAATACGAGCCCCGCAGCCCCTGCCCCCCTCCCTCTCTTCTTCTTCCCCCCCTTCCTAGCGGCACGGCACCAGGCCCGCCCTGGTGGCATCTCCGTAATTTCGCGCCTCTTCGCCGCCACGGGGGGTGGGGGTGGGAGGAGGAGGCATGGGCAACGCCAGCGGCCGCCAGGAGGACGCCGCGGCTGTTGACGGCGATGGCGCCGACGTGGAGGACGGCGGAGGGGACTCGTCGGTTCGCTCGTCGGAGCGCAGCTTCCCGCCGTACGGCAGCGGAGGAGCCAACCACGTGCGTCGCGCGTGCTCGGTGGGCGTCGTAGGTGGCGGCGGAGGCGCCGGATCGCCACCTGGGAGCCCCGGCCACTCACTCTCGCCGCGGATGTTCGTGCCCCAGGTCAGATCACGAGATCCCGCACCGCTATGTCGGTTCGCCTGCTCGTTTGGTTGATCCAGGGATTGGTTTCCTGTGCTTGTTTTGCTCGGGAGGTGGTCGGGTGATCTGGAGATGCCCGTGATTTGGTTGGTTGGGTTAGGGTCCAATGCGACGAGTGGTCGCGATCTGGAGGTGGCTGGCAAGGTTTGGTGTCGTCAGAATTTGCTTGTGATTGATGCTAACCGACAACCGTCTTTTAGATGAACCAATTTAGCTCCCGTGCGCGTGCAATTTCGTGAAGTTATTTGCAAGTTGCTCACTGCGTAGCTTAACTAGTAGTTTGCGCTCGCAGTGCGGCGAAACGATTTTTTGCACCCCACGAAAACCAACTTTGGTTGGTCCTTGGTCGTTATCAGCAGTAGATTTTGTCAGAATATGTCATTGATGATACTTAAGCTGTCAGACAGTCCGTTGCTGAACGGTGAGCTTCCAGTGTACTCAAGTTGTTGATTGGTCATATAACAGAGTGATTGTTTCTTGAATTCGCACTTGATTGTCTAATCATCCATTAGATGGTTTAATAGTGATGTGAGAAATTAGTGTTGAGATTGATGCTCCAACGAGCTCTGTACAACTAGATTACTCTGCGCATGTGCGAGCCTTTCTTTTCATGTATGTACACCAGCAACTAATTATTGCTCAGGAACAGGGAAGTTAGGTCTCTGGCGTATGTTGACATTGATATATACCTGTGTTGATGATACTTAGACTGTGTTGTCACATGAACATTGATATATACAGTCAATGGCATTTTTGTTCTACTCTGTGATGTTCAAACTTATTTTGATAGTTTAGCACGATTATAGTTTGAACTGTTTAAGAATTTGAGTTATTAACTCGTAACTGAAAACCCCATAGCGATCTGTCCAATTAAGGCCTAGCTTCCTACTATTTTCACGATGTTACTGCTTAACTCGGATTGATATTACAGTCGTTGTGTTAACATATTTTAATTAGAGGTCATACATTTTTTTACAAAGAGGATTATGAAATCCATGCCCTCTCTGAACCAATATTTATCTTGCATTTCCTGGGACTTTGCTCATATTTTAATGTATTTATGTGTCTACCAGTATGCTGACATCTTATGTAATGCAGCATCACATCAAAATTGTGCTCATACCTCCCCAGTTTTTGTTTAGTTGCATAAGTTAACCTGAAAACAAATATACAAGATAACTTCAGTTACTACTCACTGCATTCGCTGCTCCATTTATTTATTATATGTTCTTGAACAGCTGACGTTGACATGCCTCATTAGAAAATAGAAATGTCGCAATGTGTTGTTCCCATTTCAGCAACCTCTTGATTTTGAAATGGTGGTGTTTCTTCTGAAGTCTAAACCACATGAAACACAGGCGTTGCGCAGATAAATACATGGAAAATAAATTATTTGATGTTTAATTGATTAGAGATTCAAAGATAAATTGCAAATTTATCCATGAAATGCTCACTGTAGTTATTAAAATATGGTCTTAAACTGCTTATGATAAAAAGTGAATGACATTGAGCACTAGGCTTCAGAATGGCTCAATAGGATGCTTCTCCTTTGCATAATGTATCTGCAGAGATTTCTAAAGCATCCTCTTTTTTGTGTGGCACAAAACTGCATGGATAGCTATAAGGAACAGGAAAGATCAATTACATGCGGATGTGATGCAGCTTGTGGCATTATGCATATAGGACTTGTGAGAAAACTAAAAACATTCACATAAATATGCTTGGTAATTTATTGTTAATTGCTCCCAAAACTGTTTCAGTTAATAATTATAGACCTAGTAGTTGCTACAAGGTTTCAGAATAGGGCAGTATTCTTTTCTTCAGAATGTTAAAGAACTAGTTGTATTTGTAATTTGTTTCAGAATAAGACAGTATATTTTTGTTCCTTTTTATAATTATAATGTGTTGCGAACTGGGAAAAACAAGTGCATATAGTGTAAGCAACTAGTATAAAGTTAGGAAAGTTTAACCTTTCATCCCAGTGTTTTGCTATGTGACCTTAGGTCAGTCAGGTTTTCTTAGCCTTGAGCCCTTGACCGGCCTGTTATGGGTGTTGTTTAGTTGCTTTATCAGAAATTTGGTGGCTTTCTGCCACAACTGTGGCAAACTTTGGCAAATAATTTGTCTAAAATGCGAGAGCTATGTGCCTATGTTACTACAAAATTATGGTATTTATGTGTGCCACAACTTTAGTTGCAGACCAAACAATTTCTGCAGCAATCAAATTCTAACTTAAGCACTGTATCTCTGTTCCAAATTATAGTTCACTTTAGTTTTGTCCTTTTTTTTCTCGAACAGCGCAGGAGAACTGCGCGTCATTTCATTAAGGTAGAAAAAGATTACACGGGTCAAAAGAGACCCAACACACACACACCACACCCTGGTCACTAAGTTACAGACGCATACAGAAAGAACAGAGAAACGACCAGAAGCCTCAGAGCTTTAAGCTCCGGTAGGTAGCGACCTGAACACAAGTTCCTTTAGTTTGGAGGCCCTTGCCGAGCGCCGAAGACCCCTCCCTCCATGCTAACAGCCCTAAGGACCTCCTGAACGCTTAGCCTCTTATTGTCAAAGACGCAAGCGTTGCGATGCTTCCAAATCTCCCATGCCACCAGAATTATCAAGGAGTTGAGGCCTTTACGCGCTTCTTTGGGGACAGCTGGAATTGATTTCTTCCACCACCCCGAGAAATGAGTCACAGTAGGTTGTGGTGCCAACTGCAACAGCCCTAACTGTTGCAAAATTAGTGTCCAGACTTGTTGAGAGAAGACACAACGTGCTAGCAAATGATTTAGTTTTGTCCTGGGTCAAACTTCTCTAACTTTGGCTAGGTTTATAGAAAAACGCATCAGCATCAAATTAATTTCATCAAATTCTCCATGTGTCTTGATAGGGCATATTTGAACTTGTATATACAACAACAACAACAACAACAAAGCCTTTAAGTCCCAAACAAGTTGGGGTAGGCTAGAGTTGAAACCCAGCAGAAGCAATCAAGGTTCAGTCATGTGAATAGCTGTTTTTCAAGCACTCCTATCTAAGGCTAAGTCTTTGGGTATATTGCATCCTTTCAAGTCTCCTTTTATTGCCTCTACCCAAGTCAACTTCGGTCTTCCTCTGCCTCTCTTCACGTTACTATCTTGGCTTAGGATTCCACTACGCACCGGTGCCTCTGGAGGTCTCCGTTGGACATGTCCAAACCATCTCAACCGGTGTTGGACAAACTTTTCTTCAATTGGTGCTACCCCTAATCTATCACGTATATCATCGTTCTGAACTCGATCCCTTCTTGTATGACCGCAAATCCAACGCAACATACGCATTTCCGCGACACTTATCTGTTGAACATGTCGTCTTTTCGTAGGCCAACATTCTGCACCATACAACAGAATATTTGAACTTGTATATGTTAATATATTTTTCTAAAACTTGGTCAAAGTTACAAAAGTTTGACTTAGGACAAAGCTAAAGTGACATATCATTTGGAACGGAAGGAGTAGCAACTAAAAAGCCCATAATTCGTGTACTAAAATATGCACGACAAAACTATGGCTGCAAGCTGAACGGTTAATTGGTCTTTCATATAATGCCACTCAATTGTTTTTGTGAACTTTATCAGGAATTGGAGCTGTTCCTTTTGTGGATTTTCAGTAGGACTACACAGATGAAGCATTCTTGGTTTATGTTATTTTTCGTGTTCGATTGAACCGGCAGTGGATTTACTGTTTTTACTCTTATTTAAAGTGTCACACCATTCACTCCAACACTTTGATAACTTGCTGCGCTATATTGTTTTTTGTTTATATTTCAAGCCGCAAAGTTATCTTATTATTCTCTTCCTTTTACAAATTATTCTAACAAATGCGATATAAGTTTCTTTGAATTGGTGGAGTTCCTCTGATGCTAGAACAGTACCATTCATAACAATCCTGAATCTCATATTCAGCTTGTTGATACTTTTTACCCTGCTCTTGTATTCTTTTTGGAAAAGAGATTTATTTTTCCTTTAATTACCGCCTATGTTGTCTCAACATAGCAGGTCCCAAGCCCTGGTAAAGGAGGAGGGTTGTGATAGGCGTGGCAAGCCAACGTTAAATCTAGCCATTCTAATGGAGATGAAACCCGATTATAAAGGCTTTGTTGTTGTTGTTTTGTTTTTTCCTCTCATGCCACAAGGTTTCTTCAGCAAGTTGCTTGGCAAGAATGTCCTAATATAATAGGATCCAAGGCTCCTGATTTGCGTGGTCTTGACTATTTGAGGCAACTGAGTATATTGTATTAGTGTCTCTTGGTCTGCACTTTCTCAATGATGGAAGGCTAGAAGCTCGATGATCTTGCAGGATGAAAATCGAATGGTTTCTGCCTGTTGATATTCATTCAAACTTACTAATAGAGGGAAAAGCTCTATAATGGTAAAATGTGATGTTTGATTGCCTAGGATTTGGTTCAACAACTTTCTTGTCCACCACTTGAGTCACTACCTACCTCCTCTGTCCCAACACCAGACTTGTCGACCATATATTTTGAAACCAGTCATTTGTCACCTGTTTCCTTAGCTAAATGTATGTGGTATGAGCATTGCCAGTATATTGATTAGGCCTGTTACTCCTGTATTGCAGACCCCTGTACCTCCACTGCAAAGAGCTGCTGATGTAACCCCAGTGTTCAACCAGATATTGATGAATGAACAAGAAGAAGAATACGATGGCCCCCCTCAAAAGGAAATTCCTGCTTTAATTGTCTGGACCCTTGGAGGAAAAAAATGTATATGTTGAAGGATCATGGGATAACTGGAAATCAAGGTACAATAATTTAATTTATCTATATAATCCTGTTCAAGTTGAACTTTAATTCCTGAGATTGTTTGAATGTTTAATCAACTTAAGCAGAACTGTAACTTCAGACTGCGGTGAATTTGATCCTGAGATTGTTCATTTATACATGTTGCAGAAAAGCCATGCAAAAATCTGGGAAAGATTATTCTCTTTTGCTGGTACTCCCATCAGGAGTTTACCGATACAGATTTGTTGTAGATGGAGAAAGGAGATGTCTTCCTGATCTTCCCTGTGAAACTGATGCAATGGGCAATGCGGTTAACCTTCTTGATGTTAATGTGAGTATTAGTATTATTATTTTTATGGCAAAGACCTGAGCACAGCCAGAAAGAAAAAAGAAGTATTGGGTGAAATTTATAACACGCATGACACTGCTGTCAACCATATGCTTATTTGCCTTCCTTAACAAAAGAAAGAAGAATAGTTTCGGTCTTAGCTTAGCTCAAGTTGTGCATTCCATTTTAATGATGTAGTATGTACAAAGCTACTCGTGCCATCTTCTATTTTGGTCCTCTGTTGAAATTATTCCACGAAACTCTTATTGTGCTTGCAGGATTTTGTCCCTGAAAGTGTTGAGAGCGTGGCAGAATTTGAAGCACCTCCTTCTCCAGATTCTAGCTACAGTTTCCAGGCACCTGAGGAGAAGGACTTTGCCAAGGAGCCTCCTGCTCTTCCATCTCAACTCCATCTCGGTGTTCTTAACTCACAGAACTCGGAAGAAAGCTGCGCCCGGCCACAGCACATAGTCCTCAATCACCTCTTCATAGAGAAGGGCTGGGGCGCCCACCCTCTGGTGGCTCTCGGCCTAACCCACAGGTTCGAGTCCAAATATGTAACTGTCGTCCTGTACAAACCCATCGAACGATAGCAATAGCCCGCGCATGAAGAGCGGAAGTTAATGCTTGACAACTCACTGCGGGAGCAGCGATTGAACAGCACCGAGGTGGTAGTACATGCTTGTAAAAGCGGTTGAGGTTCAGGAGTATTTTTTCCGTGCCCTTAGCTTGCAGAACCTCTGGTAGTCTGGTTGTTAGCTGTACATGCTGCGCTATCATGATGTTGGCCTTCTGGTTTGTTTAAATCTTGTTACAGAGAGCCAAGGCGGGCGTCCTTATATAATTCCTACATGTCCGCTTGTCGTCGTTCCTCCCCCATCCCATCCTCCCAGGGATGATGCGTGTAGAGGTGTCACTGAAAACCGTGGAAATCCACAGAAATGTTAGGTGCCAGAGATAGATCAAGTGATTCCTAGATTTTTGTTTGTCTTTGACTGGTGATGAAGACGATGTTTTTGTTATGTAATAAACTCGAGAATTTTACAAATGGGATACTGTGGGTTCAGTCTTTTCTGATTTCACTAGTGTTTTCAGGCCCGGAGCCAGAATTTTACACTGCCATTATGCACCGGATTAACGGAGTGAGATTTGCCTAATCATTTGTTGCAGAACTCTGCACTAGTTCTCCTAATACAACGACGACTCACATCTGTCGCGCATGTTACTGAAATCGAAGAGGTGTGGCATCTCATCATGGTTATAGGTGATCATCCTGCCTTGTTGTTGTTGGGGGAATAGTTGACCACGGTAGGGAAAAAAACACCGGGAAAGGTTTGCGCACGGGCACGGGCGTGAAACGTCAAGTCCCTCCTCGCATGCACCTCCATGGCCATGGTGGTGCATTGATACCCGGGCTCGTGCTTGCCTAGTTGCCTGCCCGTGGGAGTTGAGACAAGCGTTTTTGGTGAGAAAAGGGGGAGTTGTGTTCGGCCATCCACGATGGTGTACGGGCGGCTCACCAACCGGCTGGCTGGCTCCTGGCTCCGCGGCTTCCAGCTCACTCCGGTAAATGGAGCGGCAACTCCAGCCGACGGGAGCGGACCACTTGCCTTTGCTGCTGCTCTGAGCTGCGCCATTGCCTGTGTGTGCCTCAGCTGAGTCAGTCTCGGTGGCTGGCCGCACGCCCATCAATGATGCCTGTATGCCCCACGCCCTCTCTTGGCCTGTCTTGAGCACGCCGAGGCAAGCAGGCGACGCAGCCGCCCCCCCTGGGGCCTGGGGCCCTGTGGCCCCCTCTCTTGCTCTCTCTCTGTCTTCTCCCTCATGGCAGTGCAGCCAGTCCCTCCATCGGTCCATCCCTTTCACAATGATTCGGTCCAGTGTTGCGCAATCAACTCGATCCGTCGGGCGGGCCCCTTTGGCTCACTGTCACTCTCCCCCTGCGCGCGCGTGTGGTGGCGTCCATCAGAACCAGCCGGGCCGTCCACCGTGTGTCCGCCCCCCAACGTCAACGGATGAACGGAACCCACCTCCATCGTCTCATGCGTGGCGCCGAAACGGTAAAACTCCGCGCGTCCTGCGTCGGGAAGCTGGGCGTGCCATTAATAAACGCTCCATGGTTACAATGGGGGCACGTACGGGACTACAGCCTACAGGTACGGAAGAGGCTGACCTGTGACAGAGAAGGGAAAGAAGCCTCGGCCTCGCTCGACCGGGCCCCACGTAACATACTCCTACTCCTACCAGAGCGAAAGTCTCGGCGCGCACACGGATCGTGCAAACCTAGATCAGTTGAGGTTTCACGTCGTAAAACCTACCCACTTAGTTTTAAGTTCTCGACTTAATATGGATGCTCATATTTTTCTAGATTTATTCTAGCATTTAACGGCGTTATACTTTCAGTGGTAGTCGACGTCTCCATCGACAGCGAGGCGCCAGTGGTGACTTCGTGAATCTCGATATATGCCAGCTCAGTCCTTCAGAGGTGCTCATAGGGGTAGGATTTACGTACGTGTGTTCTTTGGAGTTAAGTGTGCGTGCGCGTTATGAACATAAGTGTTGTACTGTGTAATTAAAAAAAACAGGCAGTCTAGAGTGTAAGCAATTATCATTGCGGTATTGTTTCCACGCTGCACTGAATGGACACGTACGGGCTCCTGATCGTAATGCTACATGGCTTGTTTAGTTCCTCAAAACCCAAAATTTTTTGCACGGTATCCATCACATCGAATCTTGCGGCACATGCATGGAGTACTAAATGTAGACGAAAAAAAACTAATTGTACAGTTGGGTAAGAAATCGCGAGACGAAACTTTCGAACCTAATTAGTCTATAATTAAACACTAATTACCAAATACAGACAAAAGTGTCACAGTAGCCAAACCCAAAAAAATTTTGATCTAAACGCGCCCTAAGCGTGCCGCTACAGCAATGGCCTCTGCGGAGGTCGAGACTATACTACTAGTATTTCCTATGTATTTTCCCGACGAGGGAAGCGCGGCAACGAGCATGACGACGGAGAGATGAGGAATGGGAATCCGTTAGGCGACGCTAGCCCGGCACGTCCGTTCCGCTGACCCGGCCGTCGCCGCCGAACGCTAGCGGACAGCGCGGGCACGCCCTCGCTCGCGCGCGCGCGCGCGGCCGCAGTGACAAGCAAGACGTACGATAGAGGAACGGAGCCATGCATTAGTAGGGTATATATATAGGCTATCGCGTCCGTTCCGCCAACCAGGCCGTCACCGCCGAGCGCTAGTGGACACCGTGGGCACGCACCCGCGCGCCGCAGCGACAGTTTCCCGTGCCGGCAGCAGCAGGGCCAACGTTTGCCCGCATCCTCATCCGCATCCGCCATCCGCCTCGCTCGCCCCAACACGACACCGCCGCGGCGCAAAAGGACGCGAGTAGGTGGGCATGTGAGCTTTGTACGTGGCGACGTGCCGTCGCGGACGTGCGCCCCGGCCACGAAACTCGCGGAGGTGTGGATGCCGGCGTGCCGCGTGCAGCGCCAAGAGCCGAGTTGCGAACAGGCAGTGCAGTGCCCGTTGCGACGCAGGACGACGCGCACAGAACAGGCACAGTGCGTCGGTGCCCCGGACGGCCGGAGGACTAGACGACGACCAGTGCCTGGCGCGGGCTCTGGCTGTGGCTGTGGTTCTGGCCGCTGCTGCGTTCTCGCGTGCGTGTGCGCGTAGCGCGCAGGAAGGTGCTGTGGGGCCGCCACGTGGGGTGTCTCCTGAGGCGCGGTGCCTAGGATTCGACCTCGGAGTGATGGATGCGCCCTTTTCTTTTCCTTGTGCATGCCCTCTTTTGCTTTTTGCCCGATGTATCTCCCACCATTCTCCTTCGGAAAAAAATTTGTGTGGGCGATGGGTCCAGCGCGCTGCGCGTGCGCCCCCCCTCGCCGATCGATGCCGCGTGGTTGGAAACTCCATCGGACGGCAGCTGTACACGACGTCTCGACTGAAGCCAAATCGGCTCGGCCTGTCCTTCCCATCGGCAATCGCGACGCTCCTCAGATGTCGCCGTCGCCTGTACCTGAGGTCCGCGCCGCCGGTACCCGTCGTATCCGGGGAAGAGCGCCCTCTCCATCCGCTTCTACCTGCGCACGGCGCGGCCTATGCCGGCATTTCGCCGATGCCAGAGTTTCTTCCCCGGGCCCCCTCTTCTACTTACGCCGATCTGTTGACCTAAGCCGTTGCCGGTGCCGTTGCCGTCGCCTGAGCCTCTGCCTGAGCGCCCAAGCCGTCCACCGCGACTGGCCGATTTGGCACAGGAGCGCTACTTCGGGGAGAAGGGGCCAAGCCGACTTGCAGCAGGAGCCACGGACGAGAGAGCCATCTGTGCAGGAGACGGCTAGTAGTGTGGAGGAGCGGCCTCCCCTCAGCCATCTGATTTTCTCCGGCACCACACGTCATTCATCCAAGCTATGGGCGCACACAAGGGAGTTTAGACCCTGGGTCCATCTAACTTCCTTCCTTCTTCTCCCGCGGTCGTCCGTCATCTGTGAATTTTTTGTATTTTTGTCCCTTTTGAAAATATTTTTTACAAAAAGACCTATGCCAAAACGTTTTCTAAAAATAGACCATTTTTAGGCGTCTTAGAACATGACGCCGAGGTATGAGGATCGGCGTCGACTGACACGACGCCGAGGTATTGCCACGTCACGGACGACCCCGGTCGACGGCTACACGGTGGCGCGTGGGGTCCGAGATGTCGGCGTCCTGTCAGCCCACGCCACGGGCCCAACCTCGGCACGGCTGGACTGAGCGCCGAGCTATGGGCACCATCCGGCGCGCGGCCCAGGCGGCCCAACAACGCATCATGGCCCAGTAGCTCGGTGCGGGGTCACTTAACGCCGAGCCACCAGACCTCGGCGCGGCCCGACTCAACGCCGAGGTCTGGTCCCTTGAGGCAGCGCCGAGGCCCCCTTCTTCTTCCTCCCTCCATTCTGAAACCGCCGGCTCTCCTCTCTGTCTCTTCTCCCCCACGCCGCCACCAAACCCTAGCCTCCAAAATCGACCATAGATGCCATGATCTCGGCTCCCGAAGCTTCCTCGAGGTAATGGTCCCTCCCCTCCTCCAATCTATCCGCGTAGATGTGCTTGCATTGTCCCTAATCATGTGGAATCATGGGTGTATGGTGTTTTGGTATATTTGTGTTTGCATTTGCAAAATGTATGGCTTAGGATGATTGAGTGTATTGTTGTTTAACTGTTTTATGTGGTAAATATGTTAGGTTAGTTTGGTTTCTAGTTATTTTGGTCATTAGGGTTCTTTGTTTATTGTAGGTGTTATTAGGGTTAGTATGCATTTTATTTATTTGTTGGTCATTACATTTTAATTTTTTATGACTAGAAATGATTATGTTGTTGGGGTTGAAAAAGATGAAATGATATATTTTAGTTTCTACTTATTGGATTGAAACTCGCATGATATATTGATATGTGACACTACTTGTTGTGTGATGGTTGTAGATGGATAAATTAGTGAGGTTGCATCATAGAGGCCGTATTGTTAGGACAAGAGATGATAGTTTGGAATTTCTAGACATGTGTGAGGAGTTGTTGATTTTTTCTGAAACACCATCTTT